ATAGACCATCTATTCCAATTTTTTGCAGGGTTTTTATCATGAATGGGTGTTGAATTTTATCAAATGCTTTTTCTGCATCTATTGAGAGGATCATATGGTTTTTGTCCTTGACTTTGTTAATATAATGTATTACATTCACTGACTTTCGTATGTTGAACCACCCTTGCATCTCTGGAATAAATCCGACTTGGTCATGATGGATGATCTTCTTAATAATCCTCTGTATTCTGTTTGCTAGTATCTTATTAAGGATTTTTGCATCTATATTCATTAAGGAGATTGGTCTGTAGTTCTCCTTTTTGGTTGTATCTTTCTCTGGTTTGGGAATCAGAGTGATACTTGCTTCCAGGAATGAATTTGGAAGTATAGCTTCTCTTTCAATTTCATTGAAAAGTTTGAAGAGTAATGGTAGTAGTTCTTCTCTAAATGTCTTGTAAAATTCAGCAGTGAATCCATCAGGGCCTGGGCTTTTCTTTGTTGGTAAGTTTTTAATTACATTTTCAATTTCACTGATTGTGATTGGGGTGTTTAAAATGTTTTTATCTTCTTCGTTCAACTTTGGTAATTCATAAGTATCTAGAAATCTGTCCATTTCTTCTGTGTTTTCCATTTTATTAGAGTACAGGTTCTCAAAGTAGGTGTTCATGATCCTCTGGATTTCTTTCGGATCTGTTGTGACTTCGCCTTTTTCATTCCTAATTGCATGGATCTGAGCCTTTTCTTTCCTTTTTTTGATAAGATTAGCTAAGGGTTTGTCAATTTTATTTATTCTTTCAAAAAACCAGCTCTTTGTTTCATTTATTTTTTGTATCGTTTTCTTAATTTCAATTGCATTGATTTCTGCTCGGATCTTTATAATTTCCTCTCTTGTTCGAGCTTTGGGTTTTTCTTGCTCTTGTTTTTCTAGGAGTCTAAGTTTCATCGTTAAGTTGTTTATTTGAGCCCGCTCTGTTTTCCTAGTGTGGGCATTCAATGTTATGAATTTTCCACGTAGAACTGCTTTCATTGTGTCCCAAAGATTCCTGTATGTTGTATTGGCATTCTCATTTATTTGTAAAAACTGTCTAATTTCTTCTTTAATTTCCTCTGTAATCCATTGATTGTTTAGGAGAGTGTTGTTCAGTTTCCATGTGCTTGTGAAGTTTCTATAGTTTCTTGTGCTATTGATGTCTAGTTTGATTGCACTATGATCTGATAATAAACAGGGGATGACTTCAATTTTTTTGCATTTATTTAGACCTGTTTTGTGAGCCAGTATGTGGTCTATTTTGGAGAATGATCCATGTGCAGCCGAAAAGAATGTATATTCTGGTTTTTGGGGGTGGAATACTCTATAAACATCTATTAAGTCCATGTGTTCCAAAGCTTGGTTCAGTTCTATTATTTCATTGTTGATTTTCTGCCTAGTAGATCTGTCAATTTGTGATAGTGGGGTATTTAAATCCCCCACTACAATTGTATTAGTGCTTATTTGGTTTTTCATGTTACTTAATATTTGTTTTATATAGTTGGGGGCATTTATATTTGGTGCATATATGTTTATGATTGTCAGCTCTTCCTCTTGAATTGTTCCCTTTACAAGGATGTAGTGTCCTTCTTTGTCTCTCTTAATGAGTTTTGGTTTGAAATTTACTTTATCTGAGAATAAGATTGCTACCCCTGCTTTTTTCTGGACTCCTGACGCATGGAGAATTGTTTTCCATCCTTTCACTTTCAGTCTATGGACTTCCTTTTGCACTAGGTGTGTTTCTTGTATACAACATATTGTTGGATTTTGCTTCTTAATCCATTCTGCCAATCTGTTTCTCTTGATTGGTGAATTGAGGCCATTAACATTGATGGTTACAACTGATATATTTTGACTTATTCTTGTCATGTTTTTGTCCATTTGTTGACTCTTTTTACTTTTTCTCCCATCTCCTTTTAGTTTCTTGCCTTGCCTATTTGATTTGGTCTGTTGGGCCTCATGTTATTGTGAATTTCGTTGTCCTTTTCTAGGATATTGTTTAGAATTCCTTGCAGTGCTGGTTTGGTGTTCATGAAATTTCTCAGGTGCTCTTTGTCGTGGAAGTATTTTATTTCCCCATCTATTTTGAAAGAGAGTTTTGCAGGATACAAAAGTCTAGGTTGGAGATTCTTTTCTTTTAGGACTTGGAATACCTCACTCCAGGCTCTCCTTGACCTAAGGGTTTGTGTTGAAAAGTCTGCTGTGATTCTAATGGGCTTCCCTTTGCATGTGATTTGTTTCTTTTCTCTTACTGCTTGTAGTATTTTGTTTTTCTGTTGGATTTCTGGAATCTTGATTATTATATGTCTAGGTGTAGATTTTTTTTGATCGTGGCTAGTTGGGGTTCTATATGCCTCACTTATCTGTATGTCTAATTCTTCCCTTCTGTTTGGGAAGTTTTCTGTCATTAATTCTGTGAAGAGCTTTTTTATATCATTTGTGTTTTCTCCTGTTTTTTCATGAATTCCTATCAGTCTTATGTTATTTTTCTTTGTATCGTCTAGGAGTTGTTGGATTGATTTCTCATGATCCCTTACTGTTTTTAATAGACCTCTTTTTTCACGGTCACTGACTGCTATCCTATCTTCTATATCTGAAATTCTATCTTCGCAATCTTTTATTCTGTTTCGTACACTTTCAATAGAGTTTTTAATCTCCTGGATATCTGTTTGAATCTGTTTTATGGATTCCATTTCTTTCCTCTGTTGGGCATTCATTGTTTCCATGTCTTTCTTATGCTGAGTCTTCATGGCTTCTATCACAGTCTTGAGCTCATCTATTTTTTTCTCAGTTTCTGCTCTAGAGTCTCGAATCATGACTTCTATTTTGCTCATCATCTCTCTGGCTAGCTGGGAAATTATTTCTGATTTGAATTTTTCTAGAGCCTGATTGATCAATTTTGTTACCTCCTGTGCTATGGGTCCAGGGAGTCCTGTTGGTTCACTATCAGACTTTTCATCCTCATTTGTCCTACTATTTGCTATTGGTGAACTGGATATTTGTTTTTGTGTCTTGCTTAAGTGTTTTCTCATTTTTATTTTTATTGTTGGGTTGTCCTTCTTTAATTTCTGGGTATTACTTAAATCTTCCTAATATAGTTGCGTTTTAGCTTTTGAGTTTCTTATGACTCATAGACATTCTCGTTTTCATAATATCAGAGAAAACAACTCTTTAAATCAATCACCACTCTTTGTCCCAATTGATACATTCAGCAGCCCAATAGGATCAGGCACAGCTTGCCAACTGACCACTTATGGTAGTCATTAATGTATCACCTTTAACTCATGTGAATTAGATTAATTTCAAGAAGCAGCTCATAGTATGTTTGCAGTGAATATTCTTTTCAATATGGCATCTTTACCATTTAGGATGGGGGGTTCGACTTAGAACAAGAGGATTAGATAAGTGAAAGAATTAGAGCAGGTTTGAAGTGAATCCAGAGGTTGTAGAATTACCTTACTATCTTTACAAAGCTATTAAGTTCAGGGGGGATAGAGAGAGTGCAGGAATAAGGACAGGAATATATCCCCTTAACAGTAACAGGCGCTTGCCTTCCCTTGAAGGTACAGAGCCATGAGTGAGGTAAAATGACTGGAGAAAAGAACATAAAGAGAAACCCCTCCTAAAAACAAAAAATAATAAAAGAAGTCTGAGTTATTCAGGAGCTGGAATAAAAAGGGAGATGAGGGACACTATGGTGGAGCAAGAGACTGAGTTGGAGAGAGAGGACAGAAAAAAGAAAGAAATTTTAGGGTGGAATGAGGAAAAAAGAGAAAAGAGAGAGGGAAAGAAAAAGAATTTGAAGGTCCTCTTTCAGGCTATCTCTGATCTCATATTATACCACATGCACAGTCATATGCGGAACCCAATCCCCTGGTCTTAGCTAGCCAATGGCTGTTCCTCACGACTGAGACTGAACACAATCTACAAGGCCTAACTTTAGTTTCCTTACCCTCAGGGTTGAACTCCACTCAGTTCTATTACAGGTTTCCCCTGCCCTTTCTTTAAAGATGTTCAAAGTTGGGAGCTCAGAAAACTACCCTTCATGGGAACCTATGCCTCTGCAGAGTTGGTCTAAGGACTGGCCCGATCAGGAGTTTTGAGAATGGGGGGGGTGTCGTGTGGTTGTTTCAAGGGCGCCCGCGTGGCTACCTTCCTTCCTGGGCCTGTTGTCGTGCAACAGGCCGGGAGCTCGCGCACACGCCGCCGGGTGATCGCAGGTAGGCAGACAGGCAGGCAGCTGAAGAAACCCCCTCCGGGGTCTTTGGGGCCTTCCTGGTCTGTTGTCACACAGGCCGGGAGCTCGCGCGCACGCCCTTTATTTCTTAACTATAAATGGAGATATCTTCTCCACAGTGTTCCTGTGAGGATTAAATGAACTGTGAAGAGAATAACGCCATGTAAATAGGAGTCAGAAGTTGTGAGACATTATTAACATGTCCAGAGTTCTCCGGATATTTTATGTGAGAGGACTAAGTGCTCCACTGCCCTAAAATTTTGAAATTTTTAGGTTGGAGGGTGTCAAGAGTCAAGACCAAAACATGGGAAGTGAGATCCCTGCTAATGTGTTGCCACTCCATGCAAATTTGGGTGAACCCTAACACACTTATGCCTACACAATTCATGAGTGTTAGCTAAATGAACTCTCAGAGTTCATTTGAACCTAGGGAGAAAGTTTCAGCCTAAGAAATTCACTTAATGTCGAATTTCAAACTCTCTAAGGCAGGAGAGGAAAACCTCTTAAGACTAGGAAACTATGTGCTTCCAATGAGGTTGACCCTGCCTACTTGTACAAAGCCTATTATTCATCTTGCCAGAGTTATGTTTTACTAGAAAATAGGCCTCTCCCTTCACCAGGTGTTCTCTCGTTCCTACTTTCTCTCTACTAGATCTCTGGATCTAGGTATAAGCCTCAATGATAAGATGACTCTTATTGGAGGAGGAAAAAAAACACCTTCTCATGATTCACTTTCTTTTCTGGTGTTATTTGAAGACATGCAATGCCTGGAAAAGCTCCTGAGAGATGGTATCATCTATGGCCAACCTCGAACACACAGAGCTTGGAAAAAGATTCTTATCCTGGTGGAGGGCATCTACAGGTATGTAACCAACTGGAAGCACATGAACACTCAGAGGTCCACAACAAGCTGACCAGTGGGAGGAAGCTAGTGTTTCCAAGATAAATGAAGAAATAAATTTGAAATGGAAATTATGGAGAAACCTAATAAGGCTGTTAATGTCCCATCTTTGTGATGACTGTACGCATATGGCAGTATACATTAAAGGCTGGCATGTTGGTAAGGTCTTCCTCATAGATGTCCTTAGGGACATAAATGTCCTCACAGGGCAACAAGAAGGAGATTCCTTATAACATAATTATAGAAAAATGAAAGATTTTTTAAAAAGAAGGAAGTGAGGGCTGTTTAACCTCCCAAATTGGAGGACTTGTGTTGATTCTTTCCTCTACTTTTGGCTGCTCCAGGGTTTCAAAGAACTTTTATGGATGGATTATTCAAATTCAGATTATTTATTGCCTTTATGTCTGTAGGAAATGTTTTAACAGACAGCCCTGATTCTTTAACTGGACACCTTCCTGGAAAGTACAGCCAGACACCAACTGCTTGCTGAACTTGGCCAATAATTGGCATCAAAATACGGCAACTGAGTACAATTCTTTCTCCAGACCTGCGTTCTGGAGAGTAGAATGATCTTAGCAACTGAAGATATATTTAGTCAAGTTTATCTACCTTTTTTGAGCTAAGCAGATAAAACACCCACTATGCCATTCCAAGTTTCACTTTTACACTGCAGGCTGGGATTGAATTTACTTCATGCTCTGTCTGAGTTGATTATCATTACTAAAATGGAAATTGCATCCAAGCACTTCTGCTGGGTATCTTAGTCCATAAACCAAAGAAATATGATCTCAGAGTGCCCACTCCTAAATCATTGCTCAAACAATTCTGACATTAGTGGAAACAAGGAGGAGATTCCCTGTAACATAATTATAGAAAAATGAAAAATATTTTTAGAAAGAAGGGAATGAGGGCTGTTTAGCCTCCCAAACTGGAAGAGTGTGGCTTCAAAGAAAACTTGAGAACAGAAGTAGCCCTTCTTTCCACAGTCACTCTGATCAGCACCTGAGTACATGAGTTAGTGTCATATGAGTGAGTAACAAGTAACAGAATAAACACACCTCCAAATGGAGGGATAAATTCTCCCAAATTTAAAATAATAGTATAATAGTAATAATAACAATTTATATTGTTTCTATTTTAACTTTGCTTCTAATCACCCAAAAGCTGGATTCCCTGGGGTCAATATTGTGTTGCAAAGATGACATTCAAATTTCTGTTAGCCCAAATTCTGTATCACTTAGCATTCCCTCCTAAGTTCAGCCCCCAAAATATGCACTGTGCTTGGTCTTTGGGATCACCCTATGCTAGTGGCCCTCAACTGGGGTGTTCTTCCACCTGCCCCTAACCTGGACACATTTGATCATATGTAGCTACACAACTGAAATTGGGTCCTGTTGCTATCTATGAATAGAGAGCAAGAACACTGCCAAATATCCTACAATGCACAAGACAGCCCCTCCACAATAAAGAACTATCGAGCTCCAAATGGCAATAGTGCCAAGACTGAGCAATTCTGCTCTGAAATAATTCTTCACTAACTCCAAACTTTTAGGAAGCTACTATCTCATATTAAGTCTGTGCTGTAGTAACCTCAAGTACACATCTTTCTCCTTGTGTGATTTGTGCTAGCTGCTAGCATGGGAGGGAAGCCCTTATCTAAAAACCATTCATTCAGTCTTAGACTAGTGGCAATATATCCTGCCTGAGAGAAAACAGCCTGGCATCACCTTTAACCAGATAAACAGAACCCAACTGCAAATAAACACAACTTGGCTGCAATATGAAAAATTATGTTTTTAAGCAATTTGATCGTGGCTGAAAAGAAGAGGCTCACCAGCACTTTTACTGCCAAATGTTCCCATCAGTTATGCAGTGAGTTCACACCAGCAGCAGGACATGTTGATGGCTATACTGAGCCTGCGTCCGACTGTGATGTCAGGAGGACAGTGAAGCCAGGTGTGGACTCTGGGCTCCAGACCAATGTGGCATAAATCACAATTTAGGCTGCACATGCAACAGTGCAATAGTGACTAGTAATAATGACTTCTCAGTTATCTCTTGCCATGAAACAAACCACTTCAAAACATGGTGGCTTATACAACAATGATTTACTGTTTCCCATCCTACTGTGAGTTATCTGAACCACCTCAAAACTTCTGCTGAGCATGATGTGGTTGGAGGTCCTTCACAGGACTGCACTGAGCTGAGAATTGTCCTTGGGCAGGAACAGCCAAAACAACCTCATTCCTGCATCTGGACCCTGGTACTGGTTGTGGGCTTTTTTGCCTTTATAGTCTCTTCTCCACATGGCAGCTGACTTCCAAGACAGCAGAAGCAGAAGCCGACATTGTTTTGAGGGCTCAGCCCAGACCTTCTGCCATGCCCTATTAACCAAAGCATACCATGAGGCCAGGCCACATTCCAAAGAAAGTAAAATATATGTGAACTTGTACATGTGAGGCATAATGGAAATATACAGCGAATGTTTAAAGTTTTGAAAATTTATTGCAGTGAAAAACACATTGTCGTTAATCCCACTTGCTTCAAGCACACTTTTCCCATCATTCCTCCCGCTTTCTGAAGCGGTTCGGGAAGTCTTTACTCATGAGTGGATTTACGAGCTATGATCCAAAACAAGGTAAATGCCGCTGTCATGGGACATCCAATGGGAAAGCAAGCTTGTAAAAACATTACAGTGTGTCCTCATCCACCTTTTTTCACCAAATCTGGCACCGTAGAATTTCTGGCTCTTCCTCAAAATCAAAATGACTATGAAAGGTAAAATTTTTGAATGAGTTCAGCATATCAAGGCAGCCATGACAGCACAGCTAAGGACACTCGGGACTGATTTCCAGAACTGCCTCAGAAAGTAACAAGAATGATAGGAAAAGTGTGTTCAAAGCAAGAAGGAGTATTTTAATAAGGATTAAAGGCAAAATGTCTTCAACTGAAATAATTTTTCAAATATAAGCATTCGCTGTAGTTTTCGTTTACACCATGGACAGGGATGGGAAGATTTGGAGGCACCGTCTGTGAGTGTAGTCTATCACAGCAGCTTAATCATCCTGGCATTTAGACAGCTGCTTCTTCCACAGATTTGCCTTCACAGAAAGCTTTTTTATCCCATCTGCTGAGGAATCGTGGCTCTAAATGACCTGAATCACTTGGTTTACAGAGAGGAATCAGAGTACCTTGTCACCAGCCCCAGTGGGATCTCAGTTTTCTCATCCATAGAATCAAGCTAGCCTAAGTGGAGTTCCAGAGCCCTAAATCTCAGTGAGAAAGCCTTCGTAAGAGTGTTCTAATTCACAACTATACCAAAAAGTGAAATTATTTCCTATAGGATTTTCCAAAGGGCCAGGTTTAGGAACATGAAATCAACAGTTCACGAGTACCTTTCTGCTTTTGAGAGGTATAACAGGGGCATACACTCAATTGAATATTGCTCATATCTTCCTTTGAATTTTAACCACTACGTGTTTTTTCTCTTGCTTGTGCTTTGCCACCATACACAAAATACCACCTCCACGAAGAGCTCGTGTACAACTATTTTTTCATAATGCTAAAAGAAACATAGCAGCCAAATCAGAAAGTTTTGAGCGACTTTCTGGTTAGGAAAGTCTAGGTACCAAGACTAAGAAGTCACAAACCTGTTTAAAAGTAACAATAACAACAACAATAATTAATGTCACCATCCACAGGTGCTACTGTTGTTGTGTATAATATAGAACAGTCAGGATTTGGAGGCCCGGGTGCCTGTCTGCACCTGTGTATCCTCCGTAGGCCCCTTTTTAAATGGTAAGTGAGATCATACAAGGTAGTACTTGAAAGAGGCCTCACCTGTAGAAAACAAGAAAGTGTGAATTCTCTTTATCTTGAGATTTTCTTATTGTCACTTGAGAAAATTGTAATTTGGAAACCAAGAAACCGCTTAAGTAACAAGGCTGTTTGTTCATCTCTCCAGAGGGCAGTGGAAGAAATCACCCATGTATTTATATCTTACATGTGTAACCTTGAATAAGCTCCCAGGTGCCCTGAAGTTATGGCAACAATGAGGAAACTGAGGCTTAGAGGCCTGGATAACTTACCCTTACCCCAAGCCAGATCGATAAAATGGTGCAAAACTGGGATTAGAAACAGGTGGTCTCAGTGGGACAAAGGCTCAACATAAATAGAAGTCAGCCCACCTATCCCCATCCAGCGAGCTAAGTACAAAAAACACAGTCATTCATTTGACTTTTACAGTTATCCTAGTTATGCCTCAATTGCTTCCGTAAAAATAGAGGGATAGAAACTGAGTCCAAAATTCAGTGAACCCATGATTGGTGGATAAAAATCATGGTAGCATTATTGTAAATTTTCTGATACATATTTTCCTAGTGCTGTTTTTGCTTTGTTTTTGTTTGCATTTTGTATTTTTGGTTTGGGTTTGGGGTTTTGGGTTTCTAGGTCCTGGGGATTAAACATAGAGCCTTTGCACTGAGCTACATTGCCAGCCCTTTTTTATTTTTTTATTTTTTTGGAGGCAGGGTCCCCCTAAGTTGCTAAATTGCCCAGACTGGGCTCAGACTTGTCAGCCTCTTATCTCAGCTTCCCAGACTGCTGGGATTATAGGTGTGTACCACCATATCCAGCTTCTAGATGTTTTGAAGTTTGGGTTATCTCAGAAGTATAGCTCTCAAAATTATTCAAAAATATACCATGAGATAAGGGTGCCTCAAATAACCTGAACTATAAACTAGCATAGCTGGAAGTCAAAGGTTTGAAATACAAAGAATCAAAAAGGCATACCCAGCCCTTCCAAAATACACATGCTAACATCTCCAAATGCCATATAATCTAAGAATGAAGTGAGAGTCAGCCATTCTCCCCAAAATACTGTAAAGTTAAAGACTGAGACCTTCAGTGGTAAACTCTATCCTATGTTTCTATGACTTAAATACATAAAACGGAGAATAAGGCAGGAGTTATTTTTAATCTCTCCCCTTCTCCGCTTTCATCTCCTCCTCCTCCTCTTCATTCTCTTTCTTCTTCTCTCTCTCTCCCTCCCTTTCTCCCTCTCCCTTTTTTGTCCTGTGTTATGCCTGGGTACCAACAAGGAGATTTTTCTCCCATGCAATTTGGATAATACGGTTTATATGCAGAGGAAAAAAAAATAATGAGAAGAAATTTTTTAAAAGAGCCTTGTCACTTGGCTAATACATTATGTAATAGAAAAGATATAAAAAGTTACTCACCAACTTTCTGATGAAAAAGTAATTCAAGTCCTTGCACAGACTTTCAAATTAAATTTATCCACAGTTGTAGTTTTGTTTCTTTTCTCTCTACTGAAGTTAAAAACCCAACCTTCTAGGACTGGGGATGTAGCTCAGTGGCACTGTACCTGCCTCGAAAGCCCAAGGTTCTGAGTTTCATCTCCAGTACCAAAAACAAAACAAAACAACTTTCTGTTCAGGGAAGAAAGAATAAAATGCTGTTCTTTTGTCTTTTTTTTTTTTTGATACTTTTTAACAAAATGAGAGTCACATAGATAGCATTTTTATGCCTGCTTCAGACTTAAAAAAAAAAAGTTCAACTCAAATTTGGTCACATAAAGAAAATGAAAACACTGCGGATGGACAACACTCTATAAAAGCTGAGATCTCCCTGCGAATCTCTGTGCGCCCCTGCATTGACTCTACAGCCATCACTATTGTGGGGTCACTGATCTTAGAGGAAGAAATACAAACCTGGTGGGCAGGCTCCGGACCTTAGCTAGAATAGCTCCACTGAAAGACGCTTAATTAACTGCCCAGTGTCTATAAACACTGTCCTACAGTACCTTTGCCTCCTGCCAAATTCAACTCCAGAACAAAGAATGGCTATTTGTTTTGTTTGTTTGTTTTTTCTCTCTTAATTTTTTATTAAATAATTGAATTTATTGGTACATTTTAGGGATACAGCACAGTTACATTCATTGTTGGGATCTTGTATCTCTACATGACAGGTCTTGGTTCTCATTTTTCCCCCTGTCCCTGCCCTCTCTTCACCCCCTCCTCCCCTCCCCATCTACAAACACTTTATTTCCATCTTTTTATTATCTCAGATTTTTTCTTTTCCCTATTACCCTTCCCCTACCCCTCCCTCCTTCCCTGCACCTTTAGCCCCTTGCTTCCCATTTCACAATGTCAGTTATCTCATTAGGATCTTGTGTACTATTACAGTTTATTCACACCAGAGAAACTATTCAGTATTTACATGTGTGACTTATTTATTTCACTTAGGAGTATATCCTCAGTATGTATACATATTCCTATGAGTGAATCTATTTTCTCGTTCTTTGTGGCTGAGTAGTATTCCATTTTATAGAAAAACCACATCTTCTTTATCCAGTCTCCAACTGATGGGCAAATGGGCTGTTTCCAAGTTTTAGCTATTACAAACTGTGCCACTATAAACATGGGTGTGCATACATCACTGTGATACGATTCTTTTAGTTCTTTTGGAAAGACACCCAGCAGAGGAATAGCTGGGTCCAATGGAACCTCCAGTCCCAGCTCTTTGAGGTGTCTCCATATTGATTTCCACAGTGGTTGCACCAGTCTGCACTCCCACCAACAATGGAGAAGGGTTCCTTTCTCCCCGCAACCCCGCCAACATTGCTTATTGTTTGATTTCTTCATTGCAGCCAAGCATGGCTATTTGTGGCATGTCAGGTTTTCAGAATATATTTGTGTTACTTACGACATTTTAAAGATGAGAAGAAAATTCATGGAGCAATTTAATTAAAACTAGCATAATACCTGGAATCAAAAGCAGTCACTTGAGTTAGAGAAGTCAGCTTTACAAGTACATGTGGTCAACAGTAAAATAAGTTATGGCTTACTTGGGAATTAGCTGTGACAACCCACTGAATATAAATTATTTTATTCAAGTAGCATAGTTACACCAAGCACCCTCACAAGATTGAAAGCATCATCTTAGCCACATAAAATATGTCTTCAGAAGAAAACCATGGCACACCCTAGGAACCGCTGCCAGGAGTCCGGCCAAACCGTGTGGGATGTATTGGACAGAGACTGAAGGAGCACCTCGTGGGGTATTTATTAATTATGAACATTTCTTCTTCTGCCCTAGCATGGAAGGTTCCATTGTGAATCTACCTGAGATTGTGGCTCTAAAGAAGAAATACAAGGCCTACCTCTACATTGATGAAGCACACAGTATTGGGTCCGTGGGCCCCACTGGCCGGGGTATCAGAGAATACTTTGGTCTGGACCCTGAGGACATTGACGTGTACATGGGCACATTCACCAAAAGTTTTGGAGCCTCTGGAGGTTACATAGCTGGAAAAAAGGTAAGAAAGGGGCTCCTAGTGTCTTTTGAAAACCCATGCCTGTTTAAAACCTGAACACCCTGGGGACGTGATGCACAGGGCTTCTCTGAATTTCATAAAAGCTTCAACTCACTTCTCTGCCTCATGTGATTGTTGCAGCCCAGATACAATGGGCTCACAGGAAGGTGAGATCAAGAATGGTGGAGTTCATTTTCCAGTAGTGAAGAGGCGCATGGGGTGCATGATAATAGAATGATGCCAACGGTGAGCACAAGGTACAAATTACAACAGAGAAGGAGAACCCTGCAGGGAAGTATCTGGGCATCTTCTAGAATGAATGTTCATTCTGCTTTCAATTTCACAGAGTGAATAGTGTATACTTAGCTACTGAAGTAGTAAGAAATGTTATGAAAACTGTAAGTACTTTGGTCTTGGTGCCATAAAAAATAAAGCAGGTAATAACAGCAGTAGAAAAAGATCAAGTATTAAAGAGGTTTACCCTGTGTGTTTTAAATGTTGTAATCAAAACAGTGGCAGGATCAGGTATGGGCTTTTAAGACATCCCTTAGCATCTTATGCATATACCTAAAGAAGTCCAATCTGATGGGATTCGTCTATAAATGAGTACTCTCCCTGTCCTTCTAGTGTCCATATCACCAAAGGGTTTGTGAATATAAAACAAGAAATATTTGAAAGAAATTTTAAAGTAGAAGGAAACAAATATTCAAGCGCAGGTTTGAGGGAAAGGGGGCTGTTTTCCTGCCTCTTTCTAAATATCCTCAGCCAAATGCTGACAGTTACCTTACAGAAGCCCACACCTGTCCCCAGGATTGCATGACAGTGGCAGTGACTCCAGTGGGTATGTGTGGCTGACATAATTCCTTATTTATTGTCACCAATAGGAGCAAAAGTTCCATCTCGTAGTAAACCAGTCAGGCAAAACAAGGAGTATGGCAGAAGGTACTCCTGTCCTTGAATTTCTGTGATTTAAAACAACAGATTTCTAAAGGTACAAGATCCCAATAATGAAGGTAACTGTACTGTTACCTAAAATGTACCAATACACTAAAAGAAAAAAATTTTTTTAATTAAAAAACAACAGATTTCAGTTTGGCCACTGCCCCAGCTATAAGACCCTCAGATGCTTAAAATGTTCAGAGTTTCAAGTGGTCTTTACTGTCCAGTAAGCATTGTTTTCTTCCAGACTCCAAATGCTGTTTTACATCCTTCCTCCACCGACTGTGGGAATTAGCTGGATAACACTAAAAACACAAACAATGCCCCAGCTCTCACAGACTTCAGCTAAATCTGGAGAAGCGTTAAATATTTCCTGTATAACTGACACAGTGGTGGACACAGAGGGTCTCAAATCTAGGAGCTGCTTTATCCAGGTTGCATTGCTCTTCGGGGTTGTGGTTTCATGATGACTTTAGCAGCGTGTTTAACATGATTAACCAAACATAACTCTTTGCTGCACTACGCAAACAGATCCTTGAAATGTCAAATTGAGTAGCCATCACACTTCTCTCCTTAGAGTGCCTTCATCCAATACCCACCTTATACAAAGGTGCATAACTAGCTGCTCAGAGAACCAGATCAGTCTGACTTTCTCTCAAGCTCCGCATTTTGAGGTCACCTGGAATATTTTTAAAGTAGAGGGACTCTTGTCTACATAATTTCTCTTCATTTGGATAGATACTGAACGATTGTGAAAATTACATTAATTGGAATGCAAAGTATGTGCAATTATTCCTCTCCTTTGAAATATTCCTTCTGTGCCTTTTTTGGATCTAAAGGGGAGCATCATGCATTCCTCCTCTTTCTCCCCCGCCCCCGTCCTTGCTACGTTGTAGTTTTTTAACTGACCGCTAGATGGCAGCAGGAATTAGAGCACTTTTGATGGACACTTAAATCCTTACTGAGATGCTGTACGGCCCTAAAACAGCAGGATGTGAAACTTTGAACAAGCAGCACGGTTTTCAAGATCTAGAGGGTGACCAGGAGTTAGAAGGGTATTTAAGTGCATGTATGTGTTAACCCGTGACGATTTAAAAATCATGTACTAACCCATCTGAAACAATCTGGGTGAAATTGTGATAGCCCCAGGTAAATTGTTTTCTTTCCAGCTTTGTGAGCTTCAGAAGTCACACAACTCATTGATCTGTGCCTCTGCACCTTTAAGGTGTTAGATTTTGCTCATTTTAAATTATATGTAGTTTTCATTTAAATCATATATTTGGTTCTCCTGAATTTTGGATGATTTCATGAAGACTTTCATTTTTGGTCTGTTCTAAACTATGCTTCTTAATGGAAAGGACAGAGGATGGAATACACGGTAAAGATTTTTATCTTTAAGTAATTAAAGTACAATTTTCAAAGTTTCAGAGCTTCATTATATATAAACCATATATTATATATATGGATTTTTGCAGTATATATCTCATGTTTTGGGGGTTACTATAAAATATCTAGAGTTCTAGATTAATGGATACAAAAACATCCAAATTAACTGCAAAAATATTAGAATGGAAATTTTTCTGAAATTCTATTTTCAATTTTACAATGTTCATGGAGTTCTTAGAAAATCCTGAGATTTGAGAATAATCATTTAGGGCCAACAATCTACAAAAAGGTAAGAATGGTCTAACGCTGAGGCTTCTTTTTAAATGTCCACATTGATATTGGCATAGAGGGACTATTTTCTCAATAGAGGTGTCTAAGAGGTTCAAGAAATCTCTGTGGAGTGGATCAAGATCAGAACTTCCTTTTACATTAGCAACCAGATGAGTCTTGAAAACAAGATTTGGAAACGAACAAGGGGAGAGAAACACTGATTTGATGCTGACTGCTACCATGGAGAGCTGAGGTTCTGTGCCGGCCTCACCCTTGCCCTCATAAAATGTCCTACAAATTCTCCTCTGCTAAGTACAGCTTGCTGCTGGGCTGTGGACCCCCTTCTCCAGGAAACTGCTGCAACAGTTCCTAAGCGCCTGCGAGATTTTTAATTTTGTTCATTCTGCATTTGGAGATGCACCATGAAGTCTGCCTGGAGGACTCCATCCTTTCAAAACTTTCAAATAATTACTTCTCTCCACCATGACAGAGTTCCATGTCATGAATGGCTGTTTTGAAGGAGAAAGCCTGCGTTGATGGTTCTAGGTTTCCTAGTTCCTTTCTTAAACTTTTTATTTGCCCAGTTCCTGGGAAGGTATGGCCAACACTGCAGAGCTGCCACCCTTTTCCGGTGATGGATCTGGAGTCCTAGCTGCCTGCTGCTACCTCCTGGCTTCCACAGCCTCCTTGGGCTGACCAGAGATTTGCAAATGAATGAAGCAAAGGTTGCGCTCCTGACCGTTCAACTGCAGAGTTGCAATTCTGGACAAGGAAGTGAAATAGAACAACCGAGTTTGAAGTGATCATTAGCCCAGCAGCCTGCAGGCCAGGCGAAGGCAGGCCACTTGCAGAAGCCAACTCTGCCCTGGTGTTTTCAGCCCTGACTGTATTTAACAGCCCTTTGAAGTAAATAGGGGTCATGGAGCGAGTACCAAGATGTTTATTCTAAGAGCCTCCTGTCTGATTTCCTCCCCAAAACCCGCCCTTGCCCTTGAACTCCAGGCCTATGGGTAAAGAAAATAATCAGGGTTTTGAACTTACAAATGGACTTTGAAACCTCATTCTGAGAAGCCCTGTATCCCACCCCCTAGAAAGACACAACCTAGTCTAGCCTTGCGAAAGACCAAGCCCATGCTGAATTGATGGCTTGTGGCGCCACGAACAGTAACAAAGAAGGGAATCAGGAAGCAAGAACAGAGGCTTTCCTTGACACTCTCCAGGAGTTACTCAAAAGCCCTACCTTCTAAACCACACCAGCTAGTGAACCCCCACCCGCAAACTCTGACTCTGGAGTGGACTTTTCCTGAGGAACAACACTGTGGGACAGACAGACTTCATGCAGAAAGAGGTGAAGTTGCACTGATAAGCTGCATACTCCAACTAAGAAGGCTCAAGACTGACTTTCTGACATTTCTCAACTTGTAAAAGAAAATCGGGGTTGGTGACAATGGGGATCGAAAGAAGCTTTGTGTTATTTCCTTCTCTGATCTTGGCCAGTGATGTTTCTCTGACCCTTGCGACACTTGTTCATAAGAGTGCAGCTCTGTGCTCCCACATAAACGACACCGAGGCCTCTCGCCACCCTTCCTCCTTCTCGAGAGTAGGGAAGGTATTCTACACATCTCTCCAACTCAAGTGCCTTTGAAGAAACAAAAGTCATAGACAAGAAACATTTTAAGGCTGATCAGAGTCAGTCTCAACCAGTCCTGTAGGCATAGTACTACATGAACTTGATTATGTCAAGAACCCTCCTCCTTTCATCCGCACTAAAATGGAACAGTGTCTATGGATCACTGAAAGCACCACCGGGTAAGCAGAAGTTGAATTGGTCTCTGAGCTGTCTTGAAACAAACGCATGCCACCTCGATGCAAGCCCACTCAAGTTTGGTTTAGAGACGCTATAAATGTAGTGCTCTGTGTGTGGACTGTTGGGCCCGATGCTTTGAGTCCAAATCCTTGTTCTACCGACTTCTGTGAAATATTTTCTGAACCTTTCTCTGAAGCAGTTATTTCATCTATCAAACAGGGTGCTTCCTAGTGCCTATCTCATGTAGTTACTGTGGAGCATAAATGCATCCAAAGTTATTTAAATGAAGCCTTAAACAGCCCATGAATACCAACCATAATGCTAGCCTCTAGCCCCATTGGTCTTTTCAGAGTCATTCAGACTGTCAAGTCAGGATACTCTTTGCTAGATGATGCCTCTTTCTCTTTTCACTCCTACTGCCAATACCCCATGAAAGATAGGGGAAGAGCTGGGTTAAATATCTTTGGTTGGATGTCTGGAGCTGTTCATGTGCACTTATATAAACTTGGACTATTGCCCCTGCAAACTGAGGAAGCTGAAATACAAATACTCCAAGGGCTTTGGACTCTGGAATCCTCCTCTTACTCATGTCTAAGAATCTTTGAATTGGCAACCATTCAATAATCACCACTTAGAGCAATAACAAAAATTGCCAGCTATATCAGGTATTCACAATGTACTACTTTTCTTAGCACCATATATGGATTTACTCATTTGATCTTTCTGACTCTAAATCAAGGAACAAAGCCTCCTAGGTTCACCTGCATCTTGATGGAAAGGCCTGCAAAGTTGGGTATGGGTTCCGAGATTGAAAGAATTACCACCAATTTTTTGCAAACAATCAGATATACATGCTTTCTGCCTTTCTTGCTTTTGTATCTTTGTTTACTTTCTCTCTTGTTTCACCCCTTCTTCCAAGTTTACTTTTTTTCTTTATCTGTCCTAATTTTCAATGCTTAATCCATCTCATCTCCTCACTGAATATTCCCTATCTATCCCAACTAGCAGTATCCGCTCTTTTTGCATCTTTCAGCCCTGCTACATACACCCATTTTCACACTCATTTTGCACATGCTTTTCCATGGACACATTATATGAAATATTTCCAGAACAAAAACCACAAGCTGTACTCTCTGGACACTCCTGAAAGCTAAATTACTGCTTGCTAATAGAAAGTACTCAACAGATATTTCAGAAATGATTATTTTCTTCACATCTCTGTTTCTGCCTTAGAGACTTCAACTCTAAATTTTGGCAACCCCTACCCCCTGTACACCCCCTGTAGGCTTTCAGGGACAGATTAAAAGGAAGGGGATAAAAAGAATAGCAGTTGGCAATGCTCATTGAAATTTGGTCCACATTTTTCTTTCAAGTTGCATGAATTAAATGTCTTTTATTATTTGAATGGGGAAAGGACTAGATGTGATTCTCATCAGCTATACTGAGATTTATTTGTCACCTTTCTGGCTTTCTTCCTTTACTTAAGGATCTTGTGGACTATTTACGGCTTAACTCACATAGTGCTGCTTATGCTGTGTCCATGAGCCCCCCAGTAGCAGAGCAAATCATCAGATCACTGAAATTACTCATGGGACTGGATGGGACTACACAAGGTAAGAAGGTCTGCAAAGACCATCACCCCCATGATTCTTCTCCCAGATTCTCTTTGTTAATCTGCCTCCTTCTCACATGCACACCTGTCTAAGGCCATAGCACCCTGAGCACACCTGATCTTGTCAAATACACACCTTTGTCTTGTGCAGCCCAATTTTTACATAAAGACATGACACATGTACTGGAACTGCTTTGTTCCTTTGTTAAAACAAGGAAAGCCCTCTAATTCACCTCTTAAAATGATTAGCAGATTTGGATGATTTTATGTAATCAATTATGTAAAAATAAACTCGGTGTGTGTGTGTGTGTGCGTGTGTGTGTGTGTGTGTGTTCCTGTGCTTGCTTGGGGATGTCTCTTATATTTCCCTGAAGCCAAAGTAGTCAATTTAATATTCAATTTTTCAATTATTTTATGTGTTTTATAGCCAAAGTTTAGACAAGGAAAACCACCAGGGGCCATTTAAGGACCTATGGGAAAAACATACAAAGCTTCCCAGTCATTTCTTTGCCATTCAGTCACCTCAGCTAAAATGTGCTACTTTGCTGAACCAAAATGAATTTAATCTTCTCTTTGAAGAATTGTTTCATTAAAGCCTATTAAAACCTCTCCTTCTATCTTAAGATTTACTTTGTAGACCTTCTGCTACAGGTGGAGAGACAGTGAGGAGTAAAGCAGTTCCTTCTGCCAGGCAGATATCAGGCAGATAAGACGAGTGACCTGATTAATTAGTGCCACCACTTCCGTGCTTGATAGCACCAAGGCCCTTTACTGAACCCCAGTGCTCTCCATGATACCTGAAAAGCTACAAGAAAAAACATTTTTTTTCACTATAGCAGAAAAATGGCATAAAGGACAATTTCTTTTCCTCCATACAAAATGCAACATTTGGTTGATCACTAAAGTCTTTCTAGGATTGTCTTTGGGTTTATCAATCTGCATCTTTCCAAATGGTCTTTGTGAAAAGGAAATAAAATCCAGTCTAGGTAACCCTGATGGTACAGATTATAGGTGGTCACCAGGATTTGACTTCTGGAATGACTTTATTACCGTGTGGTCTTAGGCAAGTATCCTATCTGTTCAACCTTAAGCAAATTACTTAACTTCTCTGTGTCTCAGTCCCTTCAGCGATAAAATGAGGAAAATAATATTTTTGTGTCAAAGTTTTGTGAGAATTATCTGTCAACCCATATAAATTACTTTAAATTGTATCTGGAAACAATTATTGTAATTGCTTACCATTGTTGTTTGCTGATGTCCCTGAGGTGTTTGCAAAGCATCTGAACACTTCTCAAAGACGTTTTTAAAAGGATAGTTATGATAGAATTGAAATAGGACTAGATAGCCAAGGTCCTCAATTAGTCAGGATACATTAGGTAAAACCATCTTAACAAATAAACCTGAAAACCCCAATGCCTTAACAGAAGCAAGACCTAGTTCCTGCTTGCACCAATGCTGATAAAATTGGCCAGTTCTGGGCGAGGGAGTTAGCTCAGCGGTTCGGTGGCCTGCCTCGCAAGCGCAAGGACCCAAGTTCGATCCCCGGTACCAAAAAAAACAAATTGGCCAGTTCTGGGCGAGGGAGTTAGCTCAGCGGTTCGGTGGCCTGCCTCGCAAGCGCAAGGACCCAAGTTCGATCCCCGGTACCAAAAAAAACAAATTGGCCAGTTCTGTGTAGTTCTTGTGCACAAGGGCAGTGGCCCCAGCTGCTTTCAGCTTGAGACCTGGCCACGTGGACACAGGACCTCCATGGCTGCCGAAGCAGCCAGAAAAGGAAGAAGGACAGCCTGGAAGTGATATTTGTCACATTGCTTACAGCCTGTTGGCCAAAGCCCCACTCCCCAAACAAAATACGCTGGGTGTTAAATTAAGAGAGTTGGATACTGGATAAACAGCTACTCTCCAGTCTTTTATCACTGAAGCTATACAGAGCTACATTAATTCCCACATGAACCAGCAAGTAGTGTTATAAAAACTGGTCTGCAATTACCAGCTTTCCATAAAGTTAGATTAAATATTTTCTTGAACTTCAAGCACTTCTTAATGAAAAATAAATAATTTGAGATGCAAACAAGATTACAGGTGAATTTCTCATAATGACAAGTATTATCCTTTGGTCTTATTTTAAGATGAGAAACTAAAGAAAAAGTCATTTGGAAAACTAGCCCCAGTCTCAACAAGGGTTTTCACTAATTTCTTAAACCCTTTAGTATATACATTCTCAGAATAAGTAGATTTATATGTGTTAAACTTTGCAATTATTTCCTTCCCACCTCTGGATAGGTTTACTTCTTCATCACAGACACAATTCACTTCGTTTATCTGATCAGAGTTGAAGATCTGCAGAAAGATTTCACTTAAAGATATGATAATTTTTGTGTCAACAATCATCCATCATCAATTTTTCTTCCCCTCAGTTGGGATAGTTCTAGCCTTGTAATTAAGGAATCATTTTGTTATTATTTTCAACCTCATAGTTAAGGTTTCTCACTTTACTCCTCTTGCCATTTGCCATTTGGTGGGGGGCAGAAAATGTTATGTGTACAGCCTATTTTCTTAGAGCCAAGATAAGGGAACTGGAAGAAAGATGGGACTGTTTCCTTTCAAAGAAACAAACAAAGGAAAACAGCAGAAAAGCAAACTGACAGACTCATCAACCAAGTTTCAGGTGGTCCCAGCTGGCACATCTTTCAAAGAATCCAAAGCACACAGTGAACAATCACATTGGCCTCATTTACAATAATGCCTGCTTTAAATAAAATGAACAAGACAGGTTAGGGGTGCTGCATTAGCTTACCCCTTTCTACAGAGATAGACGACTCGTGGGGTAAAGTTGCCCAGTGCTCAAAGGGGTGCACTGTGTCATGCTAGAGCTGCCTGACAGGATCTGAGAAAGAGGAGCCTGCCTCCAAGCCTTCAACTCCAGCCCTGCAACTGTGACTGGAGCCTTTCAAGGCTTTGTCTTGGGTCGAGTTTGAGGAGTGGTTGGCCAGATCTGTTCCTTGATGAATGTCTTCACTTTAATCTGCAATGCAAAGCCATACGCTTCAAAGAAAGGCAAGCTACAGGAATAAGGTCAGTGTTCCTTTGATGCCAAGGTTCAAAGATGAAATAGCAGTCCCAGTGAAATGACAATGTTTATGCACAAACAGCCACCTCCACTCTGCAGCCCAGGCTGCTGGTGGAGTTAATGCACTCAGGCTGAGGGTCTGCAGGCCGGCTGTGCATTCCATATGCACCAAGGCCCGTTTAATCTCCCAGCCTGTCACTCCATGCAGTGCAGTGAGCCCCAAGTGGAGATTTGATTTCTCCATCCTAATGGATGTTGGGTGGTCCCCCCAACCAAACCAATGCTATAAGCCCCTTAAGGGCAAAGAGTGTGTCTTGAATTAATTTGGTATTCCTCTGAGTGTCAAACTCAGTACTCAGCTTAATAAATATGTGTGACTCAGCTTCCACCTCACCAGCCTGCTGCATTTCAGGTCAGTGCTTATGCTACATAGAATCATGGAGCCGTTGATCTCCTAGGACTGGGAGCTGGGAATCAGTGCCATGCCAGTGGTGGCAGCTGATGGGATCACTCAGTGAGTGAGGTTACTTTTGAGGAAAACTGGGCAGACTGCAGCTCAGTCTTTTTCTTCATCCAGCATGATGCAAGCAGCCCCAGGAGGGTGAGTCACAAACTACACCAGCTGCCCCAAAGGAGGCATTGTCAACAGTTGTCTCGTTTTGTTGAAATCTTTGATGCACAGTTTTCAATTAATCAGTCAATGTTCCTTTCCAATTCCCAACCTTGACCCTGCCTCCCTACACCGCCTTTCCTCGACTCTGAGTAACTGGTCATTTCTCAGAAAAATGAGAGGTAGAATTGCATGGATGATAGAGGGTGAGCTCTGCAGTCAGACCAACCATTTGCTCTGTGACAGGCAAGCTGCTGCCCTTCTTAGCTTCAATGCCTCCACTGACAGTTGAGGACCCTGGCAGGATTAAATGACCTGTAAATGTAGCATTGTGCTTGATACACAGTAAACATTCAAAAAAGTTACTATTACTTTTAACTTGCCAGCGTTCTTCCCTTCTCCTTCCAGATTTCCAGCAACTTTTGCCAACCGCAGAATTCTCCCCTGCTCTCAAACCTGATGCCTATTCTGTCCCCATTTCTGCAGCACTTCTATGCCGTAATCCCCAGAATCTGGTCATTTCTTACATCTCTACCACTCCCTCCATCCTCTCTCACTTGGATGATTGAAGTAGCCCCTCCACATTCTCTCCTGTTCTGCCTTTGCTATTTTTATGTTTGGTTCTCCACAGGGAAGCCAAGCTCATCTTTTTATCATTATTATTATAATCATAAAAATTTGCAGGATACATTGTGGTAATTCAGTATATGTATACAGTCCATGCAGTGATCAAATCTGGGTGGTTAAAAATTCCATCTCCTTAAACTTTTTAATTAAAATGCTATAGTTGTACACATTAATGGGGTGTAGTGTGATATTTAAATACAACTGTACAATATGTACTGATCAAACATTTCTATCTCCTTGCTGTTATTTTGTGCTCAGAGCCCTTGAGCTTTCCACTTCTAGTTATCCACAGCTTCTGTAAGAAGACACCCTGAGCTGTAGCACCCCCACCTTTCTGTGGAACCCTGGAATACTTCTATTTTGTCTCTGTTACCCAACTTCTCTCCAACCCCTCATCCCCAACTCTTTCCAGGCTTTAAGAATCACTTTTCTGCATTCGGATTGAGTTTGTTTTTTTTTATAACGTCCACATGACAGACAATATTTGATATTCAAAAACAAAACATAGCTCAGGTCATCCCGACCCTCCACTTAGGACTTTCTGTCAGCACTGCCACAGGATACAAGGCCCAGGCCGTGGCCTTCAGAGATTCTCAGGCTTTGGTCACCCAGGCTTCTCCTCACCTTCACCTTGCTTAGTGTGTTAGCAACCTCTGGTCCCCACAGCACACGGAGTAACGGCTGCCCACGGGCC